ATCTTAATATTATTCCCCCCCTTTCCCCATTCCAACCATGGCTCGATCTCTGTATCCCAGAACTCTGTTGTTCTCAAGTTGTGCATATATCATTATTTACCTCTGTCTCACTTAGCCCATTGAGACCTGTCTAATTGTTTCCCATCTGCTTTGTTCTTCCTGTTTGATTTCTTGACTGCTGCTTCTGTGAGTTTTGATAGTTGATCCAAGAAGAATAATGTCCTTGACAACTTCAATCTTTTCTCTGTTGATAAGAATGTTGTTTATTGGTCCAGTGGTGAGAATTTTTGTTTTCTTGACATTGAGATGTAATCCATGCTGAAGGCTGTGCTCTTTGATCTTCATCAGTAAATGTTTTAAGTCTTCTTCACTTTCAGCAAGCAAGGTTGTATCATCTGCATATCTCAGGTTGTTAATGAGTCTTCCTCTGATCCTAATGCCATGTTTTTCTTCATAGTACATATTAAATAGTTGTCAGTTTATTATCCATTATCCTTGCTCCAAATAAAACAAAGCAAGTCCTTTTTTTTGTTTTACATAAGAAATTTTTATTCACAAATAAGAACACATAAAAAGTAGGACACCACCAGGAGAAGCAATAATGAGTTTAGCATAGTATTTAATGAGTGAAATCAACATTTCACTGAATGGAAATTTGGAAATTCAGTCAAATATGCATAACCTTTTAGTGCATTTTCCATCATTTTAGATAACTTAAGGATCTCAAAAGTAAACAGGTTTATTTTGCCGTAATGAGCTTTTCTGAGAGCCTGATGTTACTCCACCAACACACACTCAATTTCAAAACAGAAGTTTTTGGGAGCCGTGGAATTAATCTTACCATAAAGAACATTTTTTTACATAAAGACTGTCTTTCTTAGTTTTTAGAGCTTTCAGATCATTGTGCATTTCCTCGACTGTCCTCAGTTAACTACACTTTCGGTCTGGTTTGATAAATGGTTAATATATAACACAAGAGAGAAAAACATGGCATTTTTGTTTTTAAAAAAGAACCCCCATAATTGTATTTTCCTGATGTGAATCCAAAGCTTATTTATCTTTGGTATTCATTGTGTGAGTGAGAAATAATTTAAGACCCAAGAGTTTTCTTAGCATGAAAACAAACCTTCCCTCCTAACTAATTCAGAAGAGAGTCAGTAATTCATCTTTTCTAGTGGTACTCCTGCCTTCTCTCCCCCTTTTAAAGCTTCTGTGGTCTACCACAAATAAAACTTTTGGTGAAAGAACTTACAGAGAAGAGCCTGTATATTTTTTAAAATATTCTTTTGATTTTTTTTTTTTTAGTAATTAGTTTCTGTGTGAATATATTGTGAAGTCATCTGTTAGCCCGAAGCAACTATAATAAACAGTCATCACTCAAAATTAGGCACTTGAGCTTAGTTGTAACAAAATTATTTCCTAAGAGGGCAATATACAATCCCTAAACCAAACCCACAGCCACTGAGTTGATTCCAACCGTATAGACCAGAGTGGAACATTCCCATAGAGTTTCCAAATGGTAATCTATGGAGGAGTCCTGGTGTGGCGCTGCAGGTTAATGTGTTGGACTGCAAGGTCAGTTTGAAGCCGAAGGTCAGCAGTTCAGACTCATCAGTTGCCCCTCGGACACCTGATACGGGGTCAACAACACTAAACAACAACAACAATCTTTATGGAAGCAGACGGCCATTTCTTTCTCCTCTGGGGCTGCTGGTGGGTGGTGGGTTTGAATCACTGATCTTTTGGTTAGCAGTCAAGTGCTTAATCATTGCACCACCAGGGCTCCTGAGGGCAAGATAGTATTATCCCCAGAAAACCCCACAAAATTCTCAGTATTCTGAATGACATTTATTTTGTCTTAATAACTTTTTTCTTTCTTCTTTCCTCTCCCTCCCAACCTCTCTGCCTCTTTTCTTCCTCCCTCCCTCCCTTGTTTCCCCTTCCTTCTCTCACTTTCATATTTCAGGATATTCATTTGAAAAAATCTGCTTGCTCTTTGGATGGCAGTGAAATTGAAGCTCGCCTTAATAGTTGGAATCTTGGGGTAATAAAAGCATTCGTTTTATATGTGTATTCATGTATACTGATGTAGTAGATTGACATTCTATATGAATAGCATCCAAACGGATTTACTTATATTTGTCACATAGTATTGGACTTAACTATAGGCAGTAAGCATTCGTGGACATTTTGTACTTTGCTGGCACAGCACTGGACTCTGAGTAGAGGAGGGAAAAGTAATATCTCAAGAATCATACAGTAGTTTGTGTCCTTAATGAACTACCTTATTGAAATAAGAGCTATATGTTGTTGTTGTTGAGTCTATTCCGACCCATAGCAACCCTGTATAGGGTTTCCGAGGAGCAACTGGTGAGCTTGAACCACTGACCTTGTAGTTCCAATGGCTTTGCAGTCTGGCGCATTAACCCACAGCACCACACATAGTTCTTATCAATTTAAGATGGTGTATGTTGCAATACAAAAATGAATTGTAGATTATTTGGTGGGAGTGGAGGGAAGGGAAGACTTGGGAAATCAAGAAAGTTAACCTGGGTTAAAAGACTTAAGGAGACTTCATGGATTAGTAGCCTTTATGGGGAGCACTTTTCATGTTCAAAGGTGGAGGGGCCTGAAAGTCTTTGGGTAGGTGGAGTGACGGGAGGTAGGGACTGAGGGCAGAAATAGGCATGAAGGATGGATGGATGCGAGAATCCAGCTGTCATGACTGGATCTCTGGGATTTCTATAAGGATTAGTGGACAGTGTTGTCAAGCTGAACTGTATTGGAGCTGAGTGCTAAATTAAGTTTTGGTTTTATATTGTAGACAATAGTTTGTCCTGAGGTATTTTTTTGTTTTGTTTTCTTTTCACATTGCACTTTACATATGTACTGTTTAAAGGTTTTTGAAGAAATTCAAAAGGTTGAGTTTCTTTCTCACACTTTTTTCATTACAGAAGCAATTTGTAATTTGGAAAATTATAGACAACCAGGGGAAGCAAATATACTTCAGAGTGTAAATACTGGAAGAGGTGTTAGCATTTTGTTTTTATACACACACACACACACACACACACATATATATATATCTTTTCACCTGTTTGTGAGTTTACAAAATTAACCAAAATTAAACAATTTTATTAAATTTTTAAAAGCTTTTATTGTGAGTTGGGTGACGATTACAGAACATTATTGTAAATTTTTAGAAAAGTTCTATAAAAAATACTGGAGGAATTTGAGACTGAGTTCCTTTTCAGACCTTGACCACCTTTTAGATCTGAAAAGGAACTCATCCTCACGGCCCAATTTCCAGCCAAACAGTAGCTATGTGTATAGGGGGGAGAACAACACTAGCAAGGTATCCTCACCATGGAAAGGCCAATTCTTCAAAATCAAAAGGGCAGCGTTTTCCTTGAGGACAAAGTCGAGAAGGAATGGGAAGGAGAGTAGAACGGAAGTAGGCACCACAGGGAGGAAGCGGGCTAACTGTTGTCGCAGGGAGGGGATTGCAATCACTGAGATGAAACGAAGTGTAGGATTCGTTCAATGGAAAACTGATGGTCTTGTCTGTAAACCTTCACTCATTTCACAATAAAAAACTAAGAAAACAATAATAATAACACTGGGGCCACTGTGCCTTTCTATAATAAAACTAATCACCAGCAAAAGAATTCTATAAACATGAATTTTAATGCTAGCATCAGCTTTTCTGTTAGATGGCTAGTTTATAATTTATATAAATTCTGTGATTTTTTTAGACATAATTTATTTAAATGCTGTGATATTTTTAGGTTTCTGCCAGTTTGTTGTCAATATAAGGAATATTGTAATATTATACTACTATAAGAATAACACTACTATAAGAATCCTTTTGTACCTATTTGGTTGTTTTCTTAGGTCATAATATAGCTTTGGTACATTTTCTCTAGAAGATTTGTACCAGTTTATTCCTCCTACTTTTATTAAATCAGAAGTTTCTTTTCCATATGTTGTCTTAGGTGAAAGTCTATATAACATGCTATTGTTGTTGTTAGGTTGGTACCATTGAGTTGGTACCAACTCATAGCGACACTATGCACAGCACAATGAAACACTCCCGCACCTGCGCCAACCTCACAATCATTGCTACACTTGACCCCATCGCTGCTGCCCCTATGTCAGTCCATCTCATTGAGGGTCTTCCTCTTTTTCTCTCACCCTCCATTTTACCAAACATGATGTCCTTCTCCAGGGGCTAGTTCATCCTGACAATATGTCCAAAGTATGAGACACAGCCTATTAGGTTGCCCTTTAACAATTTCTCATTATTTCCACTTTGTTCTGTTTCTACTGATCTAGTTTCCCTTTCCCTCCTTACCTCCTTCTCACCTTTGGTTTTAGGCAAATGTCAACCATTTTGCCCTATATAGTTCATTGTTTAGGAAGCATATTACTTATAGGTGGTCCTATGTATTTTATGAGCCAAACTGATATTTAGCCAAAAGATGGCCTGTGGGAATTGCTTCAGTTCCAAATTCAAAGATTATTTTAGGGTGATAATCTCTGGACTTCTTCTGGTCTCAATCAGCCCTGTTGTTGTTGTTAAGTGCCTTCGAGTCGGAGCCGACCCATAGCGACCCTGTACAGGGTTTCCGAGGGTGTAAATCCTTACGGGAGTAGAAAGCCTCATCTTTCTCCCGCGGAGCAGCTGGTAGTTTCGAACCACTGACCTTAAGGTTCGCAGCCCGATTCGTAACCACTATGCTACCATCAGCCCTGTAGGCGTAGCTTTTTTTTTTTTTTTTTTTTTCAGAATTTTGGTTTTGTTCTGTATTTTTCTCCTGTTCTATCTGGGATCTTCCATTGTATGTCTGGTCAGACAGTGGTAGCCAATGTTAGGCACCACTGAGTTTTAGTCTTACGTTAGAAGAAGCTGTAGTTCATGTGAACTATTGGTACAGTGGATCAGTTTCTTCTTTTCTTTGATTTCCTTCATCCTCTTTTGCTCTATACAAGTAGAGACCTATAGTATCTTAGATGGTTGTTTGCAAGGTTTTAAGACCTCAGACACTACTCACCTCTTGGATGTAGAACGTACTTTGTGAACTATGTTATGCCCTGAGACGATGGTAAACGTGCCCTGTGAGTGGTCTAGGAAGGCTCTTCAACTGTGTGTGCCCCCTGTGTGGTTGGTTATATCTGTGCATGTATCTGCAGTACATCCAGACTTGTCCATACATATGCCTACAGATACCCTGTTTATGTACATACGCCTTCCTATAAATATCTGTACCAAAAACTTTGTGGAAAAATTCCATTATTTAATTCCATTTTTTTCATGAACTTTTTGAAGTCCCTTATGTATGCATTTGTTTCTATATACATAAACACACACATGTTTTTTGGTTAATTTTATTGTTGTTGCAAAGTTTTATGTTATAGTATCATTAACTGAAATTGTTCCTATTTCTGGTGTACATTTTAGTATATTTACTTGATCAAATTATGCTGATTTCACCCATATTTGGTCTTGCCTTTCCCATCACCAAAAGTAACATGTTTCTACTCTCTAGAAAGACCCTATCCCTGGCAAGCATTTCGTTCTTTGTGATTATGTACGGGACCAGACATTATTTGTCATTTTATGATTGACTTATTTCACTCAGCATAATGTCCTCCAGATTTCACCACGTTGTAAGATGGCTCATTATTCTTTATAGTTGAATAGTATTTTATTGTAGAAATATATAAGTGCCACCTTTTATTCTTCCTTTAATGGCCACTTAAGGTGTTAAAATCTTCTTACTGTTGTGAAGAATGCTGTTGTGAACATGTTGTTGTGGGTCTTTGAGTTTGTTCCAACTCATAGAGACCCTGTGATGGGTTTCCTAGGATGTAAATCACTATGAGAGGAGAAAGTCTCCTCTTTCTCCTGTGGAGCAGCCAGTGGATTTGAAGCACCGACCTTGTGGTAACAGCCCAATACGTAACCCACTATTGTTGTTGTTGTTAAGTGCAGTCGAGTTGGTTCCTACCCATAGCGACCCAGTATAGGGTTTCCGAGGAGCAGCTGGTGATCTTGAACTGCCAACCTTGCTGTTCAAACAGCTTTGCAGTCTGGTGCATTAACCCACAGCGCCATACCAGGACTCCACATAATCCACTACACCACCATATTTCTATTTGTGTCACTGCTCTTATAGTTCTAGGCTATATACCTAGGCATGGGATTGTTGAATCATCAGGTATTTCTGTTTCTAGCCTTTTGAGGAGGTACCATACTGTTTTCCATAGTGGTTGAACCATTTTACAATCCCGCCAACAATGTATAACAGTTTCAGTCTCTCACAGCCTCGTCACACCCCCACTCGGCTGGGGGTCTCTAGCCACCACTCTAAGGATCACCCACTCCATCAGTGGCACCCAGCTTGGTGATGAGAGACTGCCCATGCTGAGTAGGTCTGCCCCTGTTTCCTGGCTCCGTCCCTATTCTGTGGTCACCGGGACCCCTTGGGCTTTTCCCCATCTTCCTGTTCTGCTCTTCTTAGATCCACTTCTATTCACCTTACTTTGCTGCAGATTTGTCTGCAGAGTGTATCTGCCTCCCAGTGTGGATTCTGGGAAGTGGCCTTTTTGTACTTTTCAGCAGGAAATGCTGAAACTCTTGCACGTTGTGGGTCGGACTGTAAAATGGTTCCATGGGACTGTTACTTGGTTTGTGTCAAGATAGCCACACTGCACAGGGCTGGCTGGAAGGGTGTCTGCAGTCCAGAAGTCACCTTGTTTGCTCTTTTCATCTAGTTTCTCCTTCCCTGTGATGTTGGTTCGAATTCTCCACCTTTCTCATCTTTGTTCTGGATGCCCACACTGCCGTGTGCGTCTGCGTCAGTTGTTTTCTCTGTTCTTTTCTTTACGGAGATGGCAGGGGTGTGGAGTTGGTTCCCATCTTGGGCTGTCTCTCCTGTACCAATGAATTCTTAAACCAGCATTGTGCAGCACAGTGCGTTTCTTCACATACGTTGGTGGTGTTGTCAAGTTGGTTCCAACTCATAGTGACCCTGTATAAGA